ACCAGCAGATGTTCTATGTTGTGGAAAGGGATTTTGCTCTTGTTTCCCCAGGAGAAGAAAACAATTGATACCATCATAATTAAACAAGATTTGGTTTGAAAGGGAGAAACCTCTTGATAAAGAGAACTGACAGCTCATCCACAGAAATCACAATCCACAGGTTGTAAGAAAACCTCATAATTGTTGGGGTAGGGTTATGTTCTTGTCTTTGCAGGAAAATACCTATCTTCAAAAGGTCAAGAGACCTTGGACAACTAGATGCTTAAAGAGGGAAAAATAGCTATCCAGAAAGAACCACCTAGCAAAGAGAAATCTGACTTATGATACCAATATTCTCTATGGGGTAAGATTTACAAACATATAATGTGAGTAGCAAATTATTAAAAATCAATGCTGGCTTTGGAGATGGACAGTGGCTATCCTTCTCTAAATCCAAGCATGTTGTTTAAAGAAAAATTCAGAGTTTATGTCTCATATTGAGTCACCTGGTATAGGACAGAAGGAAGATAAAATCCAGGGACTACTGTTGTCAAAATTATGCTTTCAAAAATTTTTGATTATCCCCATATATATATATATATATATATATATATATATATATATATATATATTTGTCTCTATGGTACCTTTTGTTGAATATATGTCTGTTGAAATTCAAGATTTCTGTTTTGATATGATTAATGTTTACATTTTCCACAATGAACAATTAATTTTCCTTCAGTAATCTTTTTCCAGGAAAAAGATGGGGCCCATCATAATAATTCTACCTAGTAAACATGATGTCGTTATGCTGATAGCACCACTTTAAGACTGGTTTTGGGTTACAAACTACTCAAGATGATCCCAACTTGGATAACAGAGATGGTGCACCTTCTTACAATGCTCTCTATCCAGAACTTCAAATAAGAATTTCAGAAAGACCCTACCGACTACTCAGAGATTATTGGCAAATGTACCAGACAGTAGTTTTGAAACTTAAACATCATTTTAATTTTTACAGGATCCCATAGAAAAAGCATCACCCCTTGACAGATGAAAGTAATTCTAGAAAACAATGTCCCTTCTCTTATTAAAGTTTTTCCTCAGGGTTAGGGACATCTGTTTGGGGTTGATTATAAGTGGTATAGGGTTGGGATGGAAATGAAGTAGGCTCAGGGATCTCTTTTTTAAAAAAAGAATGGTTGGATTGAGATAATAGGTAGATTAATGTATTACTTGTGAGCTATTATTTATAGACAATTTATATTAGTATAGATTCTTGTATATTGATACACATTCAGATTATATTTGTTATATTAAATATACTCCTATTTCTGTTTACAAAATTTCTGCATTCTGCAGTTATTCTGCCATATTTTATACATTCATGTTTCTACCTCTGCTTAAGTTATTTTGTATATTGATGCAACTTTAGGGTATATTTATCATATTGCACTATATATTTCTACTTCTGATCAAGATGCTTATTTATATATTGCTTACATTTTGAAGAAATTGTCCTTATTTGCTTCACATTTGCTTAAGGATTGTTTAATTTTTTTTAATATGAAGCCTAAGTCATTAAGATACATAGGTATTTAGAATTTCAGGTCAATAGTTATCCTTGTTTGTCATACTTATTGAAGGTGTAAGTCACAAACAATCCCACACAAGTTTGGAATTATGATTAATAAAATGGTTATTTATTTAAAGGGAAAATACTTACAGATCACCTTCCCAGACAATAGCCCTCTGCGTGATTAGGAAAGGAGTCTAGTAGCCGGAAGCAGAGCAGGAAGCAAGAGAGAGAGGGAGCACACTGCTATCGCTGCTTTTTAAAGCAAATGAGACCACGCCCAAGTGGGCTGGTATCTTAAAGGCTATTGGTTGAAGGAACAGAAGGAACTCCCATAGCACCTCCCCCTTTTGTTTAAGTAATATAGTTCTAAACCCAATATAAAACAATATACACTAGGAACAGATATTAAGTATAACATTAGAATTACAATAATCATAAGTAATATTAAGCAAGGAACATATGCTAAATAATGTTTTAATAAACATTCTATCCTATGAATGTTTTAATAAACATTCTATCCTATGGAGTCTAAGTCTTGTATAGGAAATGGCTTGGCTAGATCATAAGAGGAAGGTAACTATGACTATTTAATCTTCAACCCTATTAAAGGCCTGAGAAGGGAGATAATATTACTTGAGCAGGCAGGAAGTATAATCAAGTAGCTCCTAAAGTGTGCAATATATGACAGAGACAATTAGCTACCTGAGCAATCACCCAAAATCTCATTTTGCAACATTGAAGTGACCAACTTTGGCTATGGTCTAGAATAACTGACATACCATTTTCAAAGGCAAGAAAAATTTCAAAACTGTCTTACCCTGTCTTGGCAAGATTTGAGAGTCCTGTTTATTCATTTCTGGATACTACGTTTTGTCAGTGGTTGAGGCATGGGCATTTCTTTGCTCAAAGGCCAGTTTTTGCCAAGAAGAAAACAGGCTCCAAGTAGAGTGTCTTTGGTGCTCAACATTCTCTCGGGAATAGATCGGTGCTGCCAGGAGCAATCATGTCTCATGTCAACAAAACCCTAAGTTATTTAAATGCCATGTTCCACATATCCTTGAAGTGGTTGAAGATTATCTATATATACCGAATATAATCTCTATGTATCTAAAGAACCTGATTAGTCTAACTATAAGTATGACAAACATAGATGACTATTGATCTATAATTCTTAATATCCATCTAACTTAAAGACTAAAACAATAAACAACTGTGAAATAAATGAGGACAATGACCTCCAAATGTAAACAATGTATAAGTATCTTGATCAGAGGTAGAAATGTATACTGCAATATCGTAAATATATGTTTCAACACATAAAAATGTTTTAAAAGAGGTAGAAGCATGCATGCATACAATATTCAATATAATTTAACTTTGTATCAATATATAAAAATCTATACCAACGTAATGGTCTGTAAACAATAACTCACAAATACCAATATATTATCCCATCATCTAATTTTCCCTCTTTTTTTAAAAAAACGATCCCTGAGCTTATAAAATTCCTTCCCCAACCCTCAACCATATACCAATTATAATCAACCCCTAAATGATGTCCCTAAGCCTGAGGACAAACTTGCTAGGAGAGGGGATGTCGTCTTTTAGAATTACTTCCAGCTGTCATGGGAGCAACATTCTTTCTAGGGGATCCTGTGAAAATAAAATGATGATTAAATTTCAAGTTTAATGTCTGGTAAGATTGCAAATAGTCTTTGAGTATTTTGTGGAGGCCTGGCCAAAATGTAAAAGATGTGTATCATTTCAACTAACCAAGTTGGAAATGTCTTGTGCAGCTGGTACCCAAAACAGGCCTTGTAGTAGCGCTATCAGTATCATGATGTCATATCAACCAGGTGGAGTTGTTGTTATGGAGTCCCATATTCTTCCTGGAAACTTCAAAGATCACTGCAGGAAAATTTATTGTTTATTGTAGAAAACTTAAACATTATTTAGATAGACATACAGGCACATATATTCAATGAAAGTTATGATAAAGACAAAAATAGGTATGAAGAAAATCAAAGATGTTTTCTAAATTCTTTTTTCTTTCTGTCCCACATCAAATGGCTCTTGACATGAGATAGAAACTCTGGGTTCTTTCTTTTAATAACATGCTTGGATTTAAAGAAGGACAGAACCGTTGTCCAATTCTAAAACCAGCTCTATATTTTCATAAATATACATACCTATACATACATACATACATACATATATAAATGTATACATTGTACCATTTGTACTTGTGAACCATATTTGATTTTCTTGATGATCCTTATTGGATAGTTATTTTTCTACCTGTCATCATTTAAACATCAGGGGTTTCTTTTGAATTTTTGAAGATGAATATTTTCCTGCAAAGACAAGAACAGAACCCTGTCCTCATCCTAAATGCTTTTCTTACCACCTGTACGGTTATCACCAGTGTGGATGAGCTTTCATTTCTCTGTTTCAATAGGTTTCTCCTTTTCAAAGTGAATCTTTATTAATTTTGATGGTGTACATATTTTTTCATCTCCTGTGGAAACAAGAGTAAAACCCCTTCCTCAACATAGTACATCTCCTGGTTTCCATTGTGAAGTCAACACATCCTTGAAATATATTGGTTGATTCAGTTCAGAAGTTTTTTCCATTATTCAATGCCTCTTCACTGCTGTTATTCCTTTCTCATTAGTGTTAGGAAAATTTAAGGTTAATAAAGCATTATGCAATCTATTTCTGGGGGTATTTTTTCATTCCTTTCTGTTTGTTCAGCATATCCTTTATAGTACGATTTGATCTTTCTATAACTGCCTGACCTGTAGAATTATTTGGTATACCTGTAATGTGCTTTATATTATAATAAGCAAAAAAGCATTTCATTTTCTTGGAAACATATGCTGGGCCATTGTCTGTCTTTATTTGTGCAGGTATACCCATGATGGCCATAACTTCCAATAAATGTGTGATTACCAAATCTGTAGTATGGAAGAGGGGTCTTTAACCCTGAAATAACCAAATGAAAATTGTATTAATTAAATCACTGCCTGGCCCATAAGCTCTAACCTCTTATTGGCTAACTATCACATCTTGATTCAACCCATTTCTAATAATCTGTATGTCACCACGAGGTTTGTGACTAACTGGGAAAGATTCAGTGTGTCTGACTCTGATGACTCCATGGCAGCTCTCCCTGCCTGCCTTCTTTCTCCCAGCATTCATTTCTCTTTTCCCTGCCTACCTAAGCTTCTGCCCTATCAAAAGTTCAAGGCAGTTTCTTTATTTGATCAATGAAAGCAACACATAGAAAGAAAAACCTCCTACACCAACTTATAGTTAGACTAGTCAGGTTCTTTAGATGCATAGAGATTAAATTCTGCATAGATAGGTAATCTTCAAACACTTCTAAGAATCGTAGAATATGGCATTTAAGTAACTCAGGATTCTGTTGATGTGAGACACAATTACTCCTGGCAGCACTGATCTAATCTTGAGAGAATATTGAGCACTGAAGACACTCCACTTGAAGTTCGTTTTCTTGGAAAAACTGGACTTTGGGCAAAGATCTGCCCCTGCCTTGACTACTGACAAAATGCACAGTGTCCAAACTGGAGAAGCATGATACAAACAAAACAACTGTCAAACCTTGCCAAGAAAGGGTAAGGCAGTTTTTCAAATTTTCCTGCCTCTGTCAATGGTATGTCAGATACAATAGGCATTCCTAGAAACAATGCTTTTTTTTTTCTAAGAATAATCTCAACAGAACACCCCTCCCTTCTGGATTATGCAGAAGGTGGCATAGGCAGACATTGGACTAATGAATATAGATCAACAAGGCACAGCCAAGGTAACCCTTTGAAGTCAGGAAATGCCTTGAGGGGATGCTCGCAGGCTGCCATGTTGTATTTGGTTCAGTCATTTCTTGTATCGTGAAGGAAACTCCTTCCCAGAGCAATTAAAGTATCTAATGCCTATTGTAAAGAAAAAAATAGAACAGCTGTAGAAGAGATAAGATGAAAATTCCAGGAGAAGCAATAAAGTAAATATTATAAAGATTATATTTAACCAAAAGAGACCTCTTGATTAAAAAATGTGATAGTTCATCAAGCAGCATGACAGTCAATCTAAACTAACTTATGTGACTAACCAATGCTTCTCATTTGATCCTACATAACTTGCCAACTACCCAAAATTAAAGTTGGAGTGTAGTTTTACTTTTGTCTTACAGAGAATGAAGGCTTCCAACTAAGGAATCTGAAGACCACTGGACAAATGAGACATGTGAAGAACCATCAAAAGATACTGTCCCAAGAAAAAAAGTAATTGGCCTATTGGTATATTATATCTCCAACAGGATAAAATTTCATAAATTTTCTCAAAAGCTTGTTTCTGCTGTTCTCTACAGACACATAATGCAAATGGTATTTTTTATAATCCTAGTTCAATTGAAAATTAAACCTGGCTTTTGTCTCTTTCTCTAAACCTAAGCATGTTTGTTAAAGTAAAATCCAAAATCTCTGTCTCATATCGGAAGAGCTAACTGATTTGGGACAGAAGGAAAT